CCCCCGCCGGGGCTCCCCCAGGGCCGGCGACGAGGGTCGGGCCCTCCGCCGCGGCGCCTTCCCCGCGGCGCCCCCCGGCGCGGGTGGCTGGCAGCCATTTTGTGGGGTGTCGTCCTTCAGTCCGTCGTCCCCCCCCCGCGCCCGCCACGCAGCCGGCGGCAAAGGAGCGGGCGGCACCGTCGCCACCCTCCCTCCTCCTCACCCAGGATCTCCTTGCGGCGGTCGGCGTGAGGCTGGTCCGTGTAGACCCACTCGAAATCCTCTCTGGCAACGGTGTTACCCATCCCGACGCCGTCCGTCTGCCTATCTCTCTGTCTATCCGCCCGCTCGGCTCCGCAGCGCCCGGCGCCCCCCAGCACCGCGCTTTATAGCGCCGCGGAGGCGGTTCGGAGGGCGTCCCGCCCACCACCCCGTCCTCTCTGCCCATTGGTTGCTGCCGGTTGTCAGGGCTGACAGGCCCCACCCCCGCCGGCGGGGGCCTGGCCGGGCGGGGCGGGGCGAGGCGCCCGGCGAAGCCGTCGCCTGTGGGGCCGCGTGGCGGCTCCCCTCAGCCCTCTGCGCCGTCCCGGGGGAGGAACGGGCAGCAGCCCCTCAGCGCCCGCTTCCGCCGGAGGGAAGTCGTGCGTGGGTACGTGTGTGTGTGTGTGTGTCCCACTTCAGGGGACAAGTCTCACTGCTCCGCCCGGGCAGGCTGCGGCTGAGCTCCCCGGCCTTCCCGCTGGAGGCGGCGTGGTAGGCTTGCGACCAGCGCCAGCCGCCCCGCGCGTCCGTGGCGGCCGCGTGGGGATGGGGTACGAAGTGTGGGATGAGGGGCCGTGACGCGCTGAGGGGAGCAGGGCGCGGGGAGGCACTGAGCGCCCCTCTCAAAGCGGCAGGGTCGCTGCCTGCCTGCGCCGCGGGTGCCTTTAGTAGCGCCGCGTGCGTAGCTAATATTTAAGGAGGGAGAAGGAAATTCTCGGCCCGTGGCGCCGGCCCTGCCTCCGGGAGCCCTGCGGCGCCGAGGCGCTGGGGGAGCGCGAAGCTCCTTCACCCGCCACCGCGGCAGCGGGGCGGGGCCGGCCTGCCAGAAGCCGGGCGGGCGAAGCCCCCGCAGCTCATCCCCGCCTCCCGCCTCCCCTGCCCGGCCTCCTCCCGCCCGCAGCGCGGCCTGCCGGAGGGATCTGCCCCTCTCGCTCGCTGGGACAACCTGCCCAGAAGCCGCCGCAGGCGGCCGGGCAGTCTCATCCGACTCGCTTTCGCGAGACTGGAAACAGAAACAGCATCTTACAGCGGCTCTTTAATATAAACACCTTTTCTTTTCCAAAGGTAAGAGATGTGTGGTTGTAAGGACTAGCTACCATTTGCCCAAAATCTACATTTCTATAAGCTGCCTAGAGATACTGAACTACAACTAAAAAACATCTGTGCCAAGGTCTCCCGTTTTCTTCACTTTCTGTGCTAAGATATTTTAAGAACTTCTTTGACAAATTCCTCTGTAAGAACTAAACTCCATTTAATCTGACCCTAGATCTGTTTCTCATATAATATTGACTGTGGGCAGTTCAGTTACAAAGATTACTTTATGTAGAAGTTGAATGACTACTTGCTTGGAATTTTAGTTGTCCATAAATCCACTAAAATTAAAATAATCTGAATCTATAATAGTGATAAAAACAACAGAGGAAGTAATCGCAAAGTAAATTAGACCTTATCTACTAATGTAATATGAACATCTCAAGGTTTATGTTGCATCACTTAAAATTTATTAGTAATAATGAATAAAAAAGGCTGATAAGTACTAGCTGCTAAAAGCCCCATGTACAACTGGGGGAATGTAGGGGAAATACAATCCCTGCTTGAAAATGTTTACAGTCTAAAATAATGGACAAAGCACGGGATCTATGAAACGTAACAACTTTGTGATTTTTTTTTACATGCATTTTTAATCTGTGTGTATCAGGATGTGAATTAGCTGTGAAAAAGGGAGCAAGTGGAGATGAAAAAGTTTATTCACAGCTTTTCTCTCCTTAGCCACATGACCTGAATTTTATAGACTTTGTGAGGACGGCTACAGAATAAGAGACAAAACAGATGTTTAGATTTTGTCAAGGCATTTTCTCCTTGCAAGGGATGTTCAGTTTTACTTTTTGCTCCGTGATCACTTCACAATAAACCAGGAAGTGCTTTTGAGTTACCACTGCAGAAGCTGACTGCAAAATTGCCAGGATCACAAGTGTTTCACTCAACTGCACTCTAAACACTGTACATGTTTCTGAAAATGTTCCCTTCTAGTTGTAGCTGAAGTATTAGCACTGCTATCCATCCTTGCGCTGAAGACCTTCTCATGCGTGGGAAACATCCTGCCAAAAGAACGAATGAATGCTTCTGCAGATAAGAAAGATTGCAGGAGTCAACAGGAGCATTGGAGGAGAGACAGAATATCAAGAGTTCAGCACACAGAGGCAGGTTTACAGCACTGCAAATGTACGGAGGTTTCTAAATGGTCACAAGATTCGGTAGGGTAATTATATAGAAGATCCCAGATTTAGAAATTAAACATTCCACAGCAGCCAAACAAGGCTTAAACAACTAAGAAAAATATGAAATGTGAAAGTTTTGGAAAATGTAATTGCTCAAGTGTCCTGGAGTGCAAAGTGGTTTTTCCTATTTAATCACTAAGTCTTTCTGGTTTAAGCAGTCCACGTAACAAATCCACATTTCTTAGATCTTCAGCAAGCTGACAGTTTTTGCATCTGACCGTCTCCCTTCCGAAGACAAAGAGATCCTGTACCTAGCACGACTTAAGCTGGCACAAAGCTAGAACAAAAAATCCTAGAGCATGCAGTTATACATAAACCAAAGCTGGCTGTGCACCCCCATCCAACCAGGAAGGTGAAATCCAGTAAGCACAACTGCAAAAGCAGAGCACAGAGACAAGTGAGCTGGTCCATGTACGGTGCAAAGCAGCACTGGAATGGAACTGGAGACAACTCAGAACAGTTCACAACTAGCAGACATGTTGTTATAAAACACTCCAAACTGAATTTACTTATGAATGAAGTAACAATCTATCCTTGTAATTTGCCAATTACCTTCTTAAAACCACCAGGAACACTAAGAAATCACGTAGTCCTCTCCTGTCTGAAGACACATTTAACTACATCCTATGTCATCCTACCTTCAAGGGGCTCTAGATGTTGAAAATTCCTTAGGCAGCCTTAGTGCTTCCCACAATTAACTGTTGTTAGATCTCAGTAAGACCAACTAAGTTTCTGCTCAATATGGTCTGATTTTTTGTGTTAAGAAACTGTGAAGGCATCCTCGTAACATTAGTGAGCTATTGTGATTAATTTAATGTGCTATGCTGAGAGTGTCAGGGACTCAAGAAGTTAACATTTGTTTCTATCTGTTCTTTAATCTGAGGAATCGATCTTGCTAAGCAGGTAGTCTTTGTTCCTTCAGGGCTTTCATGTATCACATCCATTAGCCCTTGTTTAGAAGGTGCTGGAACGCTGCATTTACATAGAAGCTGTTCAGTTTGGAAAGCAGGACCTGGTTGCAAACAGCTTTTCCCTCAAAAAAGTACCACTGTGGTATCTTCTGATACCATTTTCACCGTGTTCACTAGATAATCAAATTCATAAATAATCCTCAACCCTCCTCTGAAACAAAAAGCAGTTTACAAAGCAAGTTGCTATTTTTAGAAAAAAAAGGAAAGCTTGAAAAGGAAAGCTCACCTCAGTGGTTTTAAGGTGTTTTAAGTAACTGTAACAGATAGGTACTATCTCTTGCAACCGTGAGCCATTCCGTTTCAGCCCTTGCTAGAAGTACCAGAACTGTACACTGCCTGCAAATAAAACGGTTTTTCACATAACTTTGTAAACTACATCTTAGTCTCACTAGTTTGAGGTTCTCCCTTGAACAGCTTATACAATCACTAGTGGCTACTAACACTGTACTTTTTGAGGCCAAAATACCAACTCATGTAAACTTGCATAGAAATTTATAGTTAAAAGTGATGTAGTTTTACTTCAGGTTATTTATCAGCTTGTTCATATATTGCTAAATGCATATTTTTTTATTAAATAAGGGACACGGTGTCAGAAATTAATGTTTCAGCTATTTTTTCCAAACTATTATTTCATTCTGTTTTGTACATTCTAGCTACACCACTAGTGTATATTGTATATTCCAGCCTGAGAGCTGTCTGATAGTCGTGTCTCCCTCCCTCCCTGGGTAGTGAAAACAAAATAGTAGTGTACTTCTGTTGTGGCATTTCTCAGAGCTTGTTTGTAACCACCCCTTCTACCTCTTAAGTTTCACGGGCCTCATTCAATTTTACTATAGTTGGTAGCACACAGAGGATCAGGATGCACCTGCAAACTAGTGGCACATGGTACTTCCTTGAGTTGAAGGTTCCAAGCTGGCACTGTGCACAGAGAATGCTTCATGTAACAATAGGCCGTTGTTCTTTCCAGCTCAGTCTACGCATAGAGATTCACCAACATATAAATAAATGGTACTCTTGAACAACCTGAAACTATTTGTATATTGTGAAGGGGTGGGGGGGAGGAATTGTTTGCATCTTCTAGAGGTGAACAAAGAAAATAAAGTGAAAGATGTTGAGATGTATGACTAAACATTTTCAATAAATGCAATTCACAGGTTTATACTTGTTTAGAAGTATTTAACCACAAATATCTTCATGTAAATAACATTACATGAATTTGTCATCATGAATGACCATTAAATGAATTTGTATCACATGATACACAGTAATTATAGCTATCATGCTGACCCCATGATTCAAAATGAATATTTTTAAAAAGAAAGTATATGCCAGTATTTTTAAACTGAACAGCAGATATCTACCTTAAAGAGATCTTTAACAGTAAGAAAATGCCGAGCCATGGAACACCAGTAATAGCAAACGCTTCTTTACCAGTTTAACCTTTCCCCCAGATAGCCTTTCATCATTTCCTTGGTGCTTTTCTTAAGAAACATGCCTTTTTTAAAAAGACTCAAACTACCCAACAAGTTTATTTGAAAACTAAATGTCTGCCAAAAATTAGGCATTTGCAATGTTACTTCTGGTATGAGCTAATATATTTTAGAAATAAAAATTGTAGCTGAAGTTTCAGAAAAAATGTCAGTTTTCCCACAGTTATATAACATTTGACCAGACAGTTTCTGATTTGTTTAGTGATGTAAACACAACCACTGCGTTATACTGACAGCCACACAAAACGTAAGAGAAACTTGCACTTTAACCCTTGGTAATAATATCAAGATTTTGAACAGCTACGGATGCATCATTTGCATTTTCAGTGCCATACCAAATTGAATTTAGCACTGCCTAAACCCAGAGCTGCAGCTGATTAAAAAAAGAAAACGTAAGTCAAATGATAAAGCTACATAGTTTAGTACATCAAAACAAAACCAAGGACAATGGTATTTGTATAAGGTTCCAAAAATATACAGATGGGGGCAAAAAAAAAAAAAAAAAAAATCACTGTACACAACTCTGAGGTTGTTAAAGTGACCAGAGAGACTGAACAGTGCAAGACATGCTTTTCCAGTTACAAGCTCAAAACAGAAGTGCAAAAGAAATTAAAGCTTTGTCTGAAGTGATTTACCTTTTAGGGTAAGGAAAGCTTAGTCATCAGTGTTACAGAGAAATTTCCATCCCACCCCACCCCCAACACATAGACACAAAATAGTTTAAGTTTTTCCATAATACAGCATTTCATTCAAATGATGTCCCCCTGAGCTTGGTTACTGTAGGGACAATTTCTCTGATACTTATTAGATGTCAGCCTACGAATCAAGCAATGCATAGGCAGCTTCTCAATTCTCCAGCTTCAGCTAACGATACCTGAAATTCACAGACAGTGAAAGTGGCAGATAGCCCGGGCTCACACTCTCCTGCAACTACCTTTGTAAGACCACCTCATCATAAGAAAGCAGTTGTGCTGAAAGCCGATGCGACGTTATGGCTGAGGAACAAATTGCTTTACAGGTCTCTGTGCTCTCTCCCAGAGTTAAGAACGATTTCAGGCAAGTGCTTTTAGCAGGCTGGCTAAGCTGTACATGCATCTATCCATGCAAATGTGGAATACGGCTCCCAACACCTAGAACCAGGGGGTGTGCACGTGAAGACTGGAGAGAAGGCCCTTCCTCCTAAGTTTACAAAAATATATAGCCAATACTGTAGTTTAAGAAGTCAGTTTTACTCATTACAGAGATCCCCAAAAAGTATTAACTACTTTTCAGACATTCCAGACAAGGTCACTTGTAACAAAAAAGATCACGTTCTCTAAAACAAGATTTTAAAAGTGGATCTTTCCTTCAAGTGAATAGGACATCTGTTTTTACGCTTAACTTTTTAGTCAGTTAAGACTGAGTTTATTTAAGATTTTATGTGAACATATGCATAAACACAAATAAGTTTACTTTAAACACATCTGCACAGAAAAAAAGATTAACCCTTCAAAACATAACAGAGCAGGTCTGGTTAGTATGTAACTATTGCAAATCTTAAAGATTCTGTGCATTAGGCCCACCCATACAGAAAGCAGGGGAAAAGTCTCAATGAAAGAAAATTACTGTTCAAGTCTAAGTGGTGTTTTGAAGAGCCAGCAGCCTAAGTGACACCATGAAGCTAGTCACAGTATCCAAACAAGCAGACTTGCTTGGGCTACTAAAGCAGTGTTTCCTCCCAAAGGTGTCATTTACTCCCAAATTATTTTCTGTTTCGAAGGCGTTTAGATTTCCTAGGACAGTCTGTGGATTCAACCGCCTTCCTCCGTTTTCTAGGAGATTGTTCATTTGAGCCAGAACCTGAGGAATTTCCTACTGTACTCTCCATCACCTCTCGCAGCTTCCGTTCGAGCTCAGCCAATCGGGCATTCTGTTCACCTATGATTTGGGTTTGCTCAAGCAGTTTCTGATCTTGATCTTGGAGTTGTTTCTGTTGCTCTTGCACTTTGATGCGAAGCTCTGAGATTTCCCGCTTTAGCGCTGTCAAGCCCGTGCCATTTGCTTTTACTTGCTGCTGGAGTTTGGTAACTTCCTGTCTTGAAGGGTTCTGCTTGGAGAACAGCTGCATTGTTGTCAGTGCTGCAGAAGGCCCTGGAACTTCAGAGAAAACAGTGATTAACCCTCTACAACTTCAAGACAAAGGCAGAAATTGTGTCCTAGTTTTCGTATTTCGCTTATCCCTACTCCCCAAACATGAATCTGAATAGTGGTTTCAAGTTATGTGAATGTGTAAACAGATTTACAGCCATTTAAGTGTCTGACAAGAGCATATGGTATCTCAGAGCACAACTAGTTTCTTTTAAAATACCCAGATATTCAGTAGTCTGGAAAAGAGCTCATCATTCATATATTGTGTATAAGCCCCTCTCCTTTTGCTGTATCAAAAACTGTAGAGATATTACCTTGTCATCAAGACTTAGTGTCACAGATGCGAAGTCAAAACCCCACAACATGTTTATAAATTACTTATTACAGGATAGTTACATTAAATAAATATATTTCAATCGAGCAGTACAATTTTGCTGTCTTAGTTGTAGACAGCTAACGTTCTAAATTTTTGTGGTTTGGGGCTTAACAAGATACTGAGTTTAACTTACTTTTTAGAAGAAAGGAATTTATTTTTCATGTTTCTTTAGAATGACTCTTCCTAAGTACTAAAACCATACTGGAATTTGAGCTTGGGAACGTTGATTTTAATAAAGTTCCTGTAAATCAAGGAGACTAACAGCTACTGTATAATTTCTTTCACTTTTCCTATCATAAAAGATAGTCATCACTTCTTACATCACTTTTCTAGAAATGCTACGCAAGATGCAACTTTTAAGCACTACAAAGACAGAACTGTGTGGAACAGCCTACAACAGTCATCCTCCTCCTTTTTTTATTCCTTTAAGATGCCAGCATATCTACAGTTAAAGGGTTGTCATTAGATAGGTTATGCTCCTCCCCCAACACAAGATAAACATTTCTATGACACATAAAGCCTTGGCCTTGAAAAGCCGGTTGATATCAACCATGGTTTTGGGCAGTACTTCCTCAACTAAGAGACTCAATGGAATTGAGGTACAATTAACAGGATATAATTAAGAGGTGGTATACACACCTACGGCTAAAAGGATGGACAGGACATACCCAAAACAAGGAGCTCCTACAGTTAGGCCTATCATTTTTACTTAAAATGATTTTTGTTTTGGTTGGGTTTTTTTTGAATTAAGTTACCCTTTCAGAGAGTTAATTTCACAGTTTCTAAGGAGCATGAAGATGTTCAGCACAGGAAAAACACTACAGTTCTACTAACCTCTTGCTTTTGCCCATTATATGAGGCGACTACCTTAGACTCTGGTTCACAAAAGTTCTGGCAAGTCTGACAGTGTGTATGAAGGATCAGTTTAACTGTTTATTTATAGACTGTTATTTTAATTGCCTTTTCACTATTACTGTTATTTTAATTGCCTTTTCACTATTACCCGTAAGTATTTTGCTTGTTAGCATATACATTAGTGCCCCAGGAAAGTCAAGAAGCTATGTACAAGTATGTTCTAGCTCTCTACGTACTACAACAGCTTAGGCTAATTCATCTGCTGATTGTCCTAAAAATAAAAGGCATCGAGTCGGCATCGCATGTGCCAAATTTCAACCAAGTGCAATGATAAAGTCTCATTCATTGGAGGCACAAAAGCATTTGTTTAATGAATACACACTATGCATAATTCTAACATACATTCAAGTGACTGTTCTTTTGGTAGTACAAAGGCTTAAAGTTCAAAGCAAATGAATTTCAGTTTGCATTCTTAAGAAACAAGTATCATCAATATTTATGTAATAAAGCTCAAATTTAAGGGAGGGAGCTTTAAAAAGATACAGTGCTGTTAATTTTTACAGAAAAACTAAATAAAAAACTTAACTATATGTTGGAATTAATACCTGGGGCAGTTCCTATCAGACGTCCCGATACATCTGACCCAGGCATCTTTCTTTTCAGTATTGGAACAATCTTCTCATCAAAATATTCCATAGCCATGGAGGAAATGTCCCTTAGTTCTTGAAGAACTTCATGAGCTCTCTGAGGAGCTCTTGTAGAGTTTACATACCTTAGCACACGATAAATTTCATCTATTACCTAAAACATTTAAGAAGAATTAGGATTTTCTGATAAAGGCAAGATTATTTCAGATCATTCTAGAAATGCTGGCATATTCAGGGGCTTTTACTACATAACTGTTGCATACCACTGTGTGCTTTAGTTCTAGATCAGCTTTTTGAAATTAAGTGCTGTTTGTGATACATCAGAGAAGCTGTTCACTTGATCACAACTCTCTTCAAACTCATGAAATGCTCATCGTGTGAAATTTTACTACATCTATACTTGAGTTCTAAATTACATAATCTATACTCAGCAGAGCATAATTGTTTCTTTTTGGAGAACTTGAAGCAAGCAAGATACTCTAAGCCACACTGAAGAGCAGTCACTGCCCCAGCCAGTTACAAGGCATACAAAACACATCAATGGAACAGCAAGAATTATCGTCATTTAGGCCTGAAGAGGTGTAAATATTTACATGAGTCCACTTGCATTCACCCAAAATATTGAAAACTCAGATTAAGTCCAAAATATATTAATTTATAACACATCAATCCACTGCTGACGGAGGACATAAGCACCCTCTTAACAGGTCTGACAAACAACCCCTTTGGTTAGGAGAGATACAGAGAGATGAAAGGTGTCTCACTAATCTATGAATTATAGTCTGAGGCAGATCAAGATAGGTGTGCTGGTCCTCTTATCACCGAATCTACTGACACAGATATTTTGCACAGGATTAAGAATGGTTGAAGAGTCTCCTGATGAACACAGATCTTAAGGCCTTAGAATCACAGGTGAAACAATACAGTTGCATCTTGTGTTTTAATAAAGGAAGCTTAGATAAAAGAATTGCAAAAGCTAAACAAGACTGAAGTGTCTCATCATGCCACAAATTTAGTGAAGACTTCTCTAATTTTACCCATATTATATCCTGTTAGCAACAACATCCTCAAAGCATTGTCCTGCCATTCTTGATGTAAAATCGTGCAGTAGCACTCTGCTATCACCAAAAAGCTCCACCCAGTACGCTGAACCTCAAATCAGGATTCACAAATTCTAACACATACTCACTTCCTGTCAGTTCTGTGGCAACTTCATTCAAACGAAATTTCCTGAGGGGAGCAGGGCAGGTCAGGGGGGAAACCACAGACTGTAAGTGAACAATAAGCCCTGAATCTGCTTGACCAAAATAGAATTTCCTGGTGAATTGGTAAACGTGCTGAAAGAGCAGTGGCACTAGCAAGCTCATATACTAAGTAAATAATTAAAAAAAACCTTTTAGCTGTTATATCAGAATACAAACAAGGTCCTTATGACTCAGTGCCCACAAGGAAAATGGCTGGCAAGCTCACATGCCCAACTCCTACACACCCCAGGTCTAGATTGAGTATTGCCTTTCTATCTACTCTTCAAAAAAGAAAGGCAATATTTCTATTAAGTAGTCCATTTACTATGTGAATATCAAGGACTTAAGTTTATTTGACTTTATATTATCTTACATTTTTAAAAATATATGGTATATATAAAAATATAAAGTCAAATAAGCATAAATATATTAAATTATAATGATTTCATTTAAAATTAATTAAATATCAAGTCAACAAGAATGTACAGAAATCAAGTTACCTCTTCAAGATAAAAGTACATTTCATGTCAACAGCCTATCCTATTGTACTGAATGTAAAAATGCCTGCTATGCTTCATCTGAATCCAACAGCCGACTTTTCCATTCATCCCAGTGCAAATTGGTTATCTGCCCATGAAAAATTAATACCAACATATCCAAACCTCACATGGAAAGATTCATGAATAGAGCATTAGGCTAATGTTCACAGATCTTGTTTCAACCCTGAGCTGTACCAGTCTTCCTGAGATCATGATTTTGTCAATGCCACATGCACTTCTGTTTTCACAGCTTACAAAACATTGGTACCTCTGATGTACATCTGGCTTGCATAATTTATATTTTATATTGGGGTAGTATTCTGAAACACCAGAACTGTTCAGTGGTATAATGTTTAACACACTTTATCTACATTTAAAACTAATTCCAACTACTGTATAAAAATACCCCATCCACTGTAATACTGAACAGTGTTTCCACATACTAGATACCTTAATTCAATTAATCTGAAGTACTCAAGCCCTTAAGAAAGGTGCCTAATATATTCCTGATTGACTGAGTCCTTAGTGTTATACGTAGTCTAAATTACTACATCTTCTGATGACCTGGCATCCAGCTGTTTTGTACAATTAACATTCATACTTAAACCCTACATATCATGTGTTTCTTGTAAAAGGCTGTATAGTATGTATATGCCACAAGTCAAACATCAGAATTAAGAGAGAATATAATGGAAAATGGAACTCAAGCTTAAAACAATATATACATAGAACCTCGTTCATTCATTTCAGCATGCTATAGCATAGTTTGGCTTGTGTTTGTTTGCAAGTATCTGAAACACAGTTTCAGTATATATATATACGTATTATAAATTTGTCCCAGCTGTCCCAGGTTAAGTTACAAAATCAGATTTTTTAAACACAGATACACATTCACATAGTACAGTCTACTACATTTTACCTTTCCAGGTATGAAGCAACAGAGATTGGAATCCACATACTTCATGAAAGTCATATTTAACAGAGAGAGTCTCGTTTCTACAGCAGCAAGGATGTCTGCATGACGAGCTAATGAATGGTTTCTTCTTTCTGACTCCCGTCTAGAAGACACACCATTAAGTGACACTGATTAACAACGAGTCAACAAAATGAAACTAAAATCACTCAAGTTAATTTCACCCTTAAAACCCTCTGAGGTTTGAAAATGTAACCACTAACATTAGTTCTGTCTTTATTGGAAAAAAATGATACAGATTGAAAACCAGCTAGTAATAGCAAGCTACACTTTCTTAGACAAAATTTGTTCTCTAAATAGTTAATGCATCTTATGCGATCCATAAACTCTGTATGTAATTTAGGACTATTCAGAAAGTACTAACTAGCAGTAGACACTGAGTCAGTGCAAATATTTTTATCCCCCTATATTCCTACAGTTAGTACTCCAATGCAATTGACATAAATTTATTATTAGTGTTTTCTACAAAGTTTAGGTTGGGATATAAGCTCTTTTGACAAGGGATCTCGACAGTAAGTAGCATTTAGTTTCTTCACTCTGACTAGGAAATCTGACAGGATACAACAGCAGCTGCACTTACCGGAAAAAGGAGAAAAGACATTGCTTTAGTGAGAAACTAGCTTCCAGTAATGCTCACATGTCAAATCCCCCTCCCTTTCCCCTGTTTAATCCTTGTCACTGGAAAACCTTGCTTTTTTTTAAACAGTCGTAGATAAATAATCAGTGAAGGCAATCGGTCTTGAAAGGGAATGGCATTTATTCATTCCTAGGAGTCTTTGCTCGATTTGCCAAAAGAGTTGAGTAATACAGGACCCACTCTTCTTTTCTCTGTTTAAAATACCAGAGACACTTTCCAATATTCCAGTTCATAGTATATGACTACTTACATTCATCCACACCATTATTCTGTAATTAGATCTTAGGTTCAAGGTGCTTTTGGGAAAAATGAAATAAAAACAAATGTGACTCAGATTTTCAAGATATGTAAGCGGAATTATCCAGCAAGAAATCCTTTTCAATATTCTGCTTAAAAGAATCTAGCACATATAAGTTTAACTACAGTTTTAATTGGTACATACCTCGGAAGCTGAGCTTTAACTTGCTTTTGACACAAGCTGTGGTATCTTTCCACTTTCAGAAATCCCTGATTTAACATTCTCTGGCAAACCAAGTCCATTCGCTTACAAACCTGTATTTAAAAAGAAAATGTAGGGCCACAAGTCACTTTTACTGTTATCTTATCCATACCTGCTGGGTAGTAAAAGATACTCTTACCAGTTTTTGCTCCAATTCGAGAAGCAGAAACTGTGGTTGAGCTTAAGGCAACACCATCTCTAGCAATGATCACGATACTCCAAACAGGAGAAGCTATGTTCCACACAGTGCACAAATTAATCTCCTGATATTGCCTAATAGGAGACAGTAGGCTGAATGCCACCCATATATAAGCAGATACAATTTCCTCTGATTTTATGGAAGTTGCAAATGCCTTTGCCTGGCTTTTAACTTGGTCTCCAGAGTGATTCTCGTAGATCAAGTTAATATTTTGTAGTCTCAAAAAAGAAGCCTTTAAAGACAAAAAATCATGATGGTTTTCTTTCAGCCTTTAAGGCTTATGTATTTGAAGACGGCTACAATTAAATTTAAAAGCTTATGCAATACAGTGCATGGGAAACAAGATTCCTTTTTGTGTAAAAAAAGTCTCCTCTTCTCTGTTTAGCAGATTCCTTTATTTGCTATGTTGGAAACCCATAGCCTCAATTTTTTCCACAGATTTAAGGAGAAAAAACATTAATAGCTACAGAAGATATAATAAACTGCTAAATTTAAACCTTCACAAAATAACCAGTTACAAGACAAAGCCAACTTGTACAAAAGTTTAAAGTAATTGCAATTCAGTTCTGAAGATGCAAGACCTTAGTGAACCAACTGTCCTTTGAAATTGTTTTGGGGTGTTTTTTTGTACTAAAGTGCACAACTTCCACTGTGATCCCACTTTCCAACTCATTAGCTTTGTTGTTTGTTTTAAATAAACACTCATTCCCTCCATACACTACTCATTTCATAATTCTAAAGTCTATGTAAGTTTGTACCTTGAGGAAGAAGATTCTCACTTCTCCCAGAAAAGCCTGCTATTATTTTCTGTTTATATGGAAGCCACTATTTAAAGTTCTACTTTCTGTGAGTCTTTCTCTAGTCACAGCTAGTTTCAGTTCGGTAAGAACTGACCATTTTCAAACAGACCTGCATTAACAGACCATTAAGAAATTGCTGTCAATCTGTCTGTGCTCCTTTGTGTTAGATCTTCCTTGTTAACAGTCAAAAGAGAAGGATCAGACAGGCTAACTACAGAGGGACAGTCTCAGCACACTCTTCCCCACATTCTCTAAATGAACTAAATCATCTCCAGTGTATATAAAAATAATGCTGGCCCTTCAACTACAGGAATAAGGAAATTGTCACCTTTCCCCTGTTAGCTGCATTAGGGATGCCTAGATCTGATACCATTTTCGAGTACAAGACCTTACAGCTGACTTGTGGTTCTAATGCTACCAAACGCCTGACCGAGGACCCAGTACCTGCACAAGGGCTCCGTTAGCCACGCCATTATTCAGCACAAGAGAAAAGCCAGCCTAGGTACAGTGTTAGGTGCAAGTTCAGAAGCAGCACCGAAAGGGTGCTTTTCACTGTGGGGACACTGACACCTGGTGGCAGCAAGGACCTTTCCCTGTGCTGAAGCCCTCCCACACCCAAGACACTAAGTCACGATGGGTAAACACAACTGCACTCCATTTTTAAACGCTGGATTTCTGAAAATCTTAACTCATTTGCTTACGCTGCACAGCATGAAGAATTATTTGCTCCAGCTTCTGGACATTACCCATATTTGTGCCAATAATCAGTCTAGAGCCCAAACACCGAACAGATACCATCAGAAACCAAAAATGTTTGCAACTTATTTTACTAATCATCTCTTAATTTTCAGCTGATTCCTGATGTCACCATTTAAACTATATGGCACCTGTATTTATAGGAAGAAAATGTCTCTTATAGACTGCACAGTCAGCAGTCATACGCAAAGCAGCATTATTATACTTTTAAGTGTTCATATTAGTCTAAACAGTTTGATACTAGCTATTCAATGGACCATAAGAAAGTAAAAAGTTAGATTTGCTCGTATTTGTCACAGTGTCATAAAGCTGAAAGAGCCTGAGTTTCCTCAAATGTCAGGTCCAACCAGACACTGTGTTCAAATTTCAGTGTTTGAAAGTTATTCCAAGTCCATGTGAAAAACCGAATGAGAAGTTAGTGCTTCTTAGCATGCTGGCTTATATGCAGTAACAGCTTCTATGAAAGAACTAATTTTCCAGTTCATTTGTAAACAAACTAAACTGACACAATCTGCTAGATGACTACTACCAGCTTCCCTTTCCTCAAGCACGTCTTACTTCTTCCAAGCTTCACTAACAGATAACCAATATCAAACAGAGATAAAAATATCCTAAAGTATTAGATGTAATATATGTTCTTTTTCTTAGAGGCTACACAGACACCATGTTTCATAATGCCTTTCTGGGGTAAAGTCTAAGTGATAAAACGTTGATGACTTCAACAAGAAGCTTTAAAATAGAAATGCCTGTAAATACAGCTTTACTGAAACTGTGGGAAGATTAAAGCTGTGCTGTCCAAAGGCTATCAGCCCTTATTTGTGCTGTGCAGAAAATAAGCACAAGTTTGCTGCAGAATCTAAGACACTTCTGATGTGTGTCAGAATCAAAGATAACCTTCTCCTTAGAGTGTTCATGGAAGGAGGTTACAGATTGTTTTTAATCATGCTTGCTGTAGTAATAGACTGAATGGAAGTACATTTCCAAGCTCAGCCATGGGAATGGAAAGAAACTGGAACATAAGAATTTCATTATCCCACGCAGGTAAAAACTCTAGAGCTTCGGTAGGTCATTAAAAAAATCACAGTAAAAGCAGCCTTCAAAATCTGGAAGCTAGCTAGCTTTCATTATCAGCACACATACTAGACAGCAGCTTGTCCAGAACATTACAGCTTCAGATATAAGGATCTTCTGGGTCTTCTGCGCTTCTCTTACACTGACATATCAGAGGAAGCAGATGAAGTAAATACTCAAAAGGGCTGAAGGTAAACTGCTGCTGCTTTTCCTCTCATTCACTTTACCTGAACAAAAGTTTCCTAGCTCAAGATTTGCACTAAGGCATAATTTCAGACACAATTGTATTCTGAATACCTATTGTTTAGTCTCCATTACTTAAGATCTACTTCACTGCTTAACCAGTAGATGCACAATGAGAAGCCCATGGTCTTGCCTTGCCTGATGGCAATCATCATAAGCAGGAAATGTTCTTTACCTCTTCCTTTGGTGACACAAAAAGACTTATGGATCTTGAGCCTTGGATTATGTTCCTCATTATGCTCTACATAAACAATGCAGGTCCCTATCTCTATTTTAATATGAAAACTTGCTGATGTTCTATGTCCTCCCACCCAGACACCTCCTTAGTCTGTCATCTTATACACACTCTAGATCTAACAGCAGTTCAACTCAAAGGTTTTTATTTTGTTTGTGGATTGGGTGGTTGTTTTGGTTTGTGTTTTTTTTTTTGTTTTGTTTTTGATCAGTGAGCTAAGGTGATACCAGAAAAAGAAAGAGATTAAGACATTCATTTCCTTCAATGCTGGGATCCAGCGAATGCATCACAGTGATCAATTTAGGGAATCCACATTTTGTGTCTACACATGTATGATCAAACTTCATTTAGGTTGACTGGTGTCCTGGATTATATCTTCCTACCTTCCTCAGAATGCTTTATTCCATGGAATGTCACATTCTAAGGGGTTAATGCAGCTGCTTTCAGACATATTTTTAATATGCATGAGACCTAATCAATATAATCTCTGTCATTCAATTAATGTGGTCCTGCAACATATCTTTAGCAGAATATTACTCATTATAAGATACACACATTTATCTTTGATAAACAGCTCAAGTCAGTTCTCATAGAGAAATTTGCCCTTTGTGTATTCCTGTCCTATATTGCACAAGTGTCTCCCAAGGCTACTTCTAGCCTTTCAAAATCTGAAAGTGATGAAAGTTCATCGTGAATATATGCCTAGGCATTGTTCTGTTTAAAGGCTACCTTAATTCTCTGTCAACGGCATCTGGAGTTACTCAAAACACCCAGTTTCTTCCTCTCAGTGAGCTGTCAGAACACCTTCAGTTCTGAACGGCCATCTGAAAGACCTAGCAGATCAAGCTCATGTGGCTATGAGCTACACTTCTGACTAGGTCAAACCAGAAGGGCTCTGATTCTTTACATTACCGCTGGTTAACAAAGACAAGTACACTTTCTTAGAAGCATGCTCATAATGCCTTTAGATGTGCTTAAGGGAAGAGTAAGGCATTTGAAGGAGATTAAGTTTCTTGACTGTCACTGACTCAAACTAAAACCAGGGAAAGAGCAACTGAATAGTTTCCTTCATTTTGCCCCTAGTATTGTTCCATGTGTGTGTCAGAGCTGGTATTTATCCATTCTGGTTTTGCACATTTCTGAAACTTCAGAAAGGGGCAGTCATCTTCTGGGAAGATGAACTTGCAGGTGCTACATAAGAGAGCATAAAAGTGTTGCATTTTACTTCTTAAGTAGCACAGAGTTTAACGGCTGGTTTAGTCCATATACTATCATGTTTCCTATTGTCAACTTCACTGCTGACATAGCATTGCTTACAAACATGAACTTAGCCTTACAGGAAATAAAAACCTTCTATTGACTAGTGATAGCTCCCACGGGCACTACCATTTATAAAATGAAATGGGAAAGTTGAGCACAGGGCTGTGTCTAGCACTGCAATTCAGACCATGCAGCACTAAGCATACTCAAATAGTGTATGTTCTTCTCTTCCCTTCATTCAAGCTGTAAGTAGTCAAAAGCAGAGGCTGCAATCCAAAAAAGCAGTACTATATCTTTTTCACAAATCTACTACCTACTCTCACAGAAAAGGCAAAAGTCTTTAGTGGACTGACAGCATGCTAGAAATATTTAGGTACTGGTGCAGTATGAATGAGAACACATTTTCTGCTTGAAGAGCTTTCAGTTTAAAGTCACAGTCAGGGTGCAACACTTCAGGTTGCCAATCCAACATACATGCAGTCTAATTTTCTGCAGAAATATACTTGTAATATTATCTAGTTTAGGCTAATAGAGTTCTTAAAATAGAAAGAGTACAGTACATGCAAGTTTACTGAGGGTTACATAAGCTATGCATTACTTCCCTCCCCATTATTCCATTTACAACATCATAAGAAATTCAGTAAGATAGCAGCTTATCATATTATGTCATAGTTTACATCAAGCTCCATATGCAGGCAGTTTAAGATTGATATACACTCATTTCCTCACTGACAGCTGCGCTTTTATTTGGCATTATAAAGTTCAGAGGTAGAGGTAATATCTTTTATTAGATCTACTACTATGATTGGAAGAAGCAGGCAGCCTTTCAGGCAGACAAGGGTTTTCATACATCTTTTTTTGCCACAATTTCTAGATAGGGTAGGGTCCCTCGAGCAGCAGGCTCACCATCTCCTGCACTTATACGCTTAAGCTCTATAAGTAAAAATAAATACATGCATGAGACACAATAGAGTAGTTCCCCAGGAAAAGCATTCACCACAAGAAGTAAGCCTCCAGCAGCCCAGCAATTTCTCACAGAGGACGTCCGGAATGAAAGAAGCAAGAGATGATACAAGACCTTTGGGAATGCGTGTACGGAGGCAGACACCTACACGGCTGTACCCGAGGCTCGGGGGCGGCTGGGGAAAAGGTGGGAAGCCCCATCCCGCCCCTTCCCCAGCGAGAGCAGCAGCGCGACGGGGGGCAGCAGGGGCCGCCGCCACCTCCCCACCTCCTCCCAGCGCTGCTCCCGGCCAGCCAGGCGAGCTTGCCCCGGCCGCAGCAGGGCTCCTCGCCCGCCCCGCCGCCTCCCCTCCCGGGCCCCTACCAGGCGGAGCTGGCTCGTCTCGTCGTAGGACAGGAAGCCGAGGATGCTCTCGATCGCCACGATGGGCAGCCCCATGAGCGTGTTGCTCTGAGGCGGCGGCTCCAAGGGCGCCAGAGCCTCGGGAGACTCCGAGACCGGGGGCGGGGAGAGCCGCGCCGAGCCCAGGGCGCCGCCTTCCCCCTCCGACAGGAGCCGCTCCTCCGGCGCCGCCATCTTGAAGCCCGTCCTTCCTCCGCTGAGGGAGGGGAGCAAGCCTTCCTATGACGACACTTCCGCCCCCGTTTGCACCAGACGAGCCGCCCCGCCCCGCCCCGCCCCGCCCGGCCGCGAGGGGGCGGCAGAGGGCGCGGCCGTTGATCGTCCCTCAGCGGCGTGGCCCCGGCGCTGCCTCCCCCGGGGCCGTTGTCCTCACCCCCCCACGCCACCCCACACCTCTCCGTACCCCCCCGCACCCCCCCGCCGACCCGGGCAGCCCTCGGACAACGCGTCCCCCGGCACTGAAGCGCCTGCAGGGGCGGAGGACTGCGGCCCGGCAGCCCCTTCCGCCGGCTGAGGGTGGGGGGACCGAGGTGTGGTGGAGGCTGCTCAGAATTCCGCCCCCGCTCCAGCCAAGCGCTGAGCACCCCACCGGGGGCTGATTTAAAACAAAGGGCTGGAAATCAATCCGTTGGACCGTGTGGAGTGGAAGGTTGAGGCTCGCTGGCGGTGAACGTGGTGGAGGATAAATGCACAAGCGGGGTTTGATAAGGGTGTTAAGACGCACAGGAAAACCACCACCGCGTGCCTGGTGGGTTCCTTACACGAGGTACATAAGCAACCACCACTGGCTGTGGCTGGAAGCGGCGCCCTGAGCTCCCCACACCAGCAGCCAGACACCCCGCAACTGGAGTTTTGCAGGTTAGTTTTACATGTGTCATTGAGAAGCTACAGGGCTTTTTTCTCCCCCACTCTGTAGAAGAAGTAAAAGTAAGGCAGTCGAGGAGGCTGCAGGAGCTCATAGAGATGTAGGCTGTCCTAAGGTGGAAGGGGCCCACCAGGATCATCCAAGCCTGCTCCTCACTCCCCACAGGACAACCTAAAAGTTAAATCATATATTTCTATCCAAATGCCGACTGGCTTGGGGCTGGGAGCCCTTCCCCAAGGAGCCCACTGTTCCCATGCCAGACCACCCTCTGTATGAGGATCTTTTCCCTAATAAGCAACCTGAACTTCCTCTGAGGCAGCTTTACACCATCCCTCTCCATGCCCCCTCCTGAGGAAACTCTGTGAGAAAGACCTCCAAAAACTTAATCGCTGCTGTTGCTCAGGGGTACAGCAGTGCTGCCTCCACACGGCAGGAGCAGTGCCAGCTGCACAGGCGCAGCAGCCCCCCAAGAAAATATGGTTGAATTACAGTTTGGCAGCTACAGGATGGAAAATTACTTCTGGAGCTCTTAAGTGAGGCACACCTACTTCTCACAAATGTAATCCAGGCCTTTCTATTCTACATATATATGGGTGAGCACCCGTCTTTTGTGGCCCACCTGGACCTACCCCTGCCTTGGCCAGGGTGTGCAGGGGGAGCCCCAGCAGCTGGGGTGAGAAATGGGTGTGCACATCTGCTGTTGGCATTTGGGGGCCAGAGCCAGCTGGCAGAAACTACAAACCAGTGCTTGGAACCAGACATTATTGAGAGGCGAAATACCTAGAATAAAACAAACTCTGCTCCTTTATTTGCCTTTAATCTTGCATATTAGGGAGGTTTCTTGAAAGTAATAGCTGGGGCAGCAAAGGGATGGGACCAATGGCTGTTTCTAGAACAGTGCCTGGTGCTTCTGAGCATGGTCACAAACACACCATAGTTTCACAACCGTTTTAGCCTGACAGAACTTGGCACAGCCGTTGAGAGGAATGATGCCAATCTCCTCTGCCTTCAGCTGCTGCTGCTGCTTTTTTCACATCAGTAGCACTAGGTGTGGGTGCTTGATTGGGGAACTGGTGCTACTGAAGACTGACTTGCCAAAGAAAATCACTAGGCGAATGCCAGAAGTGATGGTAGTAAAGTGTATGGGAAAAAGCCATAAAATGTTTGGGGAGAATGGAACCACTTTTCACAGTACCTGCACCAAGGTCATACAGCTTAAAATGTTACAGGACTAAAGCATTAGCTGTCTGCATCATCCCTGTACATTTTTTTCAGACATACTTCTTTTCTTTGAAGGTTTATCTTAACCCATTTCTTTCATGTGCAAATTCCTCCTTTCCTCAGAAACCTACCTGCAACCTCTTTCTTAAAAAAAAAGAATTTGCAACTGGGAAAGAATTAACTTGGGAGCAGGGCAAATGCAAGGGTAAGCCTTTATGTGTGTCATCCTAATGGCACTCCAAAAATGTGCACTGAAATTAATATTTCCTTTTTGGGAGCAGGACACTGTGTGCCTTGTACAGATCTGGAAGTGTTTTGCTCCCCTCCACCCCAACTCATCAATGCCATTGTAAAATGATCTGGCTCTCTTGGAACAAGGGTTTTATTATTGTGCATGATTTTAAGACCTGATCTCCTTTTACATGCCCACTCAGCAATTTAAAACACACTCGGGAGAATTCTTTATAAACTTGTGACTTGGCATGTGAAGTTGGGGCTGGCAGTCCATTAATGATTTAAAAGCAAGTGGTTTTTTTCATCCTACCCAAGCATATATAATTTAAGATAGTTTCAAGAATGCTTTTTTGTTTTGTCATATAATTTGAAAAAATTGAGTTTTTAAGATACAGGTTTACATTTAATTAATATAAGCCATATGTTCTGTATGTTTATTGTATTACTAAGTAGAACATGTTAATAATATGCGCAATATATATTTTATGTTATTAACCGAATAAATAGTTTTATAGTTAATAAGTCTACTTCAGTAAGTGGGTTAATTCTACTGCCTTCCAGGTCAGTATTCACATCCTAATTTGCAAAAATGCAAACTGCATGTGCTTTCATAAAATCCCCATGACAGACTCTCTAGTGCCTTAAATTTTCAGCTACTATGGGATAGCGTAAAGCCAGACAACTTGATAATACTTCCTAAAAGGGATGAAATAAACTTATACAGAGTCTATTGCATGTCAAGTAACATGCAAACATTTTGTCGATATTTTACAGCTCATGCAGAATACATACTCCATTTGCCTTATTTGGGTTACCAATCATTTCGATTTCTGCAATTCTTGTAAGATTAAAAAAATCTTGAAATAGCCTTAGTTTCAACTATGCCATATTAGAATTATAAGTATATTTGAACTGAAATTTTTTGGAAATGTCTCAGTGACTCACAGGAAGAACGTTAGGGGAAATGTATTGTTTTGCCCATCTCTAAGCAAAAATTCTCATAATCTTTTTATTTATTTTTGGGGAGATGACATTTTGATGTCTCTGTACTTTGGACTAGGAATATGAGGTTTACAAGGAAGGCTCCTTGAGCCAAGGATATCTGGTTTGCTTTCTTTGTAGTAATCTGCAAAAAATGCTTATGTCATAAGCCTTTGTAAAATCTAATTACTTGTCTTAAAATATGGCAGTGAAATTCTTAGATGTATCTATACTGAATAGATACAAACTCTCAGTTTACTACAAGCTTGTAAGACTGTATGTTTATCATGCTCCCAATTGATTTGAGTGTGGTCTGTTGAGGACAGCAGAGACTGAAATTTTACCAAAGTACATGAAATATTTTGTTTGGACTTTGTGTGGAAGCAAGCAGCGCCAAGAGCTGTGGTGAAGAGGAAGGAGCCTGGCTCAAATACTAGGGAAGTTGTAACTATGAGACATCAGAAAGGAGAAGAAATTCAGGGAAAGGGGGAAAGAGAGAGTGAGAAGCAGGAGCTAACAAGCAGACGCCTGGGAAGATAGGGATGGGGGAAGTAATCTAGCAGCAGGGGTTGGAGATGAAGGAAGGCGTGTAACTAGGTCAAGAACTACTGTGTTAATGAGGAATATAGGAGCAAAGAGGAGTAAGTGCTCAAACACTGAGGATAGGAGCAGAAGTTGGGTGGGAGGAGAACAGATTTGTTTTATTAAGCTAGTGTAATCAATAGAAAAATAGAAAATGCCTTCCCACATGGCACATTTTCTTCTCTGCTGTGCAGCAGTTTGCTCACTTTATGAATATTAAGGATTTTTTTAAAAGGTGCTACATTTGAAAGAAGTCTGGTATATTCACAGAGCTATATTTTCATTCAGACTGCTGGACACTGAGACAGAGTAGTCTTGCTTGCCTAAAAGTCTTTTTTTTGAGAGGCATTAAAAAAGAAAAGGAAAAAAAGCCATATTAAAATTTCCTTTTAGAATGTACTTAACAAATGTAGACAGGAGTGTAAATTTGCACAGATTCATGTTTTCCAGCTGAGACTTTTGATCCATTAGTAGGTAACTTAGTTATTATTGTGTGGAGTCAGCTTCAGATATGGATATAATCCCAGTTTAATTAAATCAATATAAATATTTAAATGAATCCTTTGTAGCTTAACCAGTTTTGAGCCCAGTAGTTCTGCATGTTGCATAAAAAGCTGGTTGAGAAACCACCTCTAAAATCTACATCTACCTCATAATTTACTTGTAATACTGTACATTAGGTATCTGATAGTAATCACAAGCTGAAGTTGAGAGGCAGAAGAATGTGATGCTCCCTGGAAAATAAGAGCTAGAAGCAAAAGGAAAACTGGTAGAAGACAAGATGAAAGAAAATACAACCTCTGTAGATTTTTCTCAGTTAAAAGTATGAGGACCAGACTAGTTTTTGTAGGCTAGACATGTTGCACAGTCAAGCTTTCATTAAATATGTTTTTCTGTTTTAAATTTCAATAAAAGATTTAACTAAAAGTATTTTAAAATCCACAAGGAAGCCAGGGTTTGTAGACATGTAATGTATTAATTAGGTAAACTGATGTACCTGGAGGATGAAAAGGACAAGGATTTAGACAAATAACCTTTCTGTTTTCTTGGAGTGAAGATCCACTCCCTGAAAGAGGACTGCAGGATCAGGTACTGGATAGCATGTTATCATGGTCACATTACGTATCCTCACACAGCTGTACTCAGAAGTAAGCTCAGTGAAAAAGATTATATAAACAAAAAAGAGGTTTTAATTAGATTACATGACTTTTGCTAATTCCCTGTATTATTTTCTTGTAGGACATTTGCAAGCTCTAGGAGAGAGAATGTTTCCACCATTAGTAGGGGCTCAGTTTTGATGTAAATTCCAAGG